TTTTTTTTTTTTTTTTTTTCCCATTTTTGAGGTTTCTTTCCATTTCTTAGTAAGAAAGGGTGACGGTATTATGCCTAAATAGCAGACACAGGTAAGATATACAATATTATTCATTTATTATGTATCAATTGCGTTTGATACATGACTTATAATCACTTAAATTTTAATTTAAGCACTTCAAAACATACTCAAGTCACCATCTTTCACACAATGTAATTTGGCTTCTCAATCTCTCATTATTATTATTATTATTATTTCATATTCCCTCTCCCATTATCATGCCCAACTAATATTTATAAATGACTAAATCACTTTTTGTTTATACATTTTTTGGAATTATGAGTACTCTATACTTATCATCATTCATTTTTTTTAGTTTTAAATAAAATTATCTATCACTACTTTTAGAACAAGCTTTAAGTTAAAATAATTTCTTTGCCATGATTCCTTCATTTGATATTGTTGAGCCCATAAACAAACCCAAAAATACCCTCATTTCCATGGGAATTTGAAACTTCATTTCAAAATCACAATTGACATTATGGATTATATACAAACTTTAGTTATCTATGAAGGGATTTATTGCTTGTCCAAAGTCAATTTTTGAAGTGAGATTTTTTTTTTTTGGAGAATACGTGATTAAAAAGTAAGAAAAAAATTTACGAGTTTGTAGATTGTGCGATTGAAAATGATTTTGGAAGAAAATAATTTTTCAAAAAATTCTCCAACATAAGCTCATAGTCAACAAGGAGGCAACGTCATTAATCAAAATGCTTTTTTCAGTAAATATTCAATGATTGTGAATAAAATTATTTCAGTTCGCCATCCTAAAAATCTTAAATTCATATAGATTAAAAAATTTCAAAATTTCCAATATCAATGTACAACTAAAATTGAACAATATTGATCAACCCATAAAAGAAGAAAGGGTAATTAGTACATAACGTCCTCACTTTTCAGTGTTATTGTGGAAAACGTCCATACCTTTCTTTTTTTGGTATTTTCACCTTATTTCCACATTTCATTGTCCAAATGACATTTTCGTTATTGAACAATTTTTAATTGAGAAAATGGATAAAAAAGACCTTTTGCGTAATGAAAAGTGAAAATAAATTTGCGAAAAGATGAAAGATATTAACATTTTCCATGGTAACAAAAAAAAGGTATCTAAATACAAAAAATCATTTAAAAAGAATATAATTGACATTTGAATGATTTTATCAAGTTAAGATTAGACATTTTTGACCAAACATTTGGGTTTTTTTTTTTTGGGGGGGTCATTGCAACTTTTGAGAAAGGTCTTTTAAAAAATGGCACAACTTTTTTCAGACGTGAGCTTAAAATTCAAGCCTACTTTTATCAGACATTACTGCTCCGTTCTTCCACTTGGTTTTTCTTTTACCACAAACCCATAAAACCAACGGTAAATTATGGAGGGTTCTTGGAATTAATTGTCTTATTATTGGTCCTCCCGTACTCCCTGCTCTTGCTGTCAAACGAACTGCTGCAAAGTCCTGCAGGCTGCATAGAAAGAAGATGGAGCTTTGGCTTTTCCACTAACTTGCTCAAAACCATACGGTGAAAGAGGAAAAAAATAATACAGGCTGAAACGGAATGTTGAATGTGGGTTTTTATTGATTATTTTCAGTTGATTACAGTGGACAAAGATGAAGGATTTGAGATCTTTCATGTGTAAGTAGTACTTTAGTTCACAGCAACGTCTTTTATTTATTTAAATTTGGTAAAGAAAATTGAGAGAAAGATACTATCTTTTTCTCTTTCTTTTCTTGTTTATTCCTTGGTTTTTATCTTTCTTTATAGAGAAATTCAACCACCATGCCTTTCCTTGTTTGTTTTTCTTTTTCCTCTTGTTTACCTTTCTGGGTTTTCTGCAGGAACAAGAGAAAATATTAAGTGAACTACGGGCTACGGCCATACTACAGTTGGTAGGTTGGCTTGGAACAAGAAAGAAGGGATTTTTCTTTGCTTCTTTCTTTTCTTTACTCGAAAAAAGAGTAACTAGTGGTTGAAAGAAAAAAAAGTAGTTTTGGAGGGTTGGAGTGGAATCTACCACCAACCCCAGAATAGAAGAACATGGATGCATATGAAGCAACAAAGATTGTTTTTCAAAGGATCCAAAGTTTGTACCCTGAAAATGCCTCTAAAATCATGGGAATTCTCCTGTTACAAGACCATGGTGAGAAAGAAATGATCCGCTTGGCTTTTGGCCCTGAGTCTTTGATACACTCTGTGATTCTTAAAGCTAGAAAAGATTTGGGTTTAGCATCATCAAATACTCCTTCAACCCCTTCAAGTCCTCCTTCACCATTCGGCAACTCTTTATCTCTCTCAAGTACTAATTCTTCTTCTAGGCTACTTGGTGGTGTGAATTTTCCTTCTCCTCTCAGTATGCCTAACCAGTCTTCAACTGCAGCTTCTTGGGCTAATTCAAGCTTCTCTGATTTTCAAACCCAAGATGATTTAACCAGTCCTGGTTCTGCACCAGTTGCATATAATGCAACCACTCCATCTGCTATGAATTCTGCTGCGCCTCCTTTTTATGCAACTGGAGAGGTTGATCTGATTGATGAGCTTCATTTACAAGACCAGCTCTCTTTCCTCAACGATGGCTCTCCATTACTGATGCCTAAAAGCCCTGATATATTCTACTCACAGCAAGATTTGGCCTCTAGCCCAAGTGGAAATGGAGGCGGCGAAGGGTTGCTCTTCCCTTCTTACGGTGGTGCCACCGATAACTGGGGTGGTGACTCATTCAGCGGCTTGCCTCACCGCCGCAGCTGCTCAGCGAGTGATGTCTGTTTGTGCCCTGATGATCTTGGTGGAGGGTTCGGATGGAAACCTTGTCTTTACTTTGCTAGAGGATACTGCAAGAATGGCACCAGTTGCAGGTTTGTACATGGCGAGAATGGGGCGGATGATGCCGCCATGGTTGGCTCACCGAGTAAGTTTGAGATGATGGAGCAGTGCCAACAGCTGCTTAGATCCAAGTCTATGCAACAACAAAGACTGGCCGCAGCCTCTCAACTCATGGCTTCTACTAATTTCCCATACTCCCCAGGGGCCACAAATAGATGCATGAATTTGCTTCTCCAGCAGCAACTGCAAGCTGAGAGTCCAAGGCACGAACATTTTTACTTGATCTTTTTACTGGGTTCATATTTTTGTTGAAGTAAATAATTTTGGATTTGAACTTGTAGAGCCTTTTTGGGTGATGATATGCACAAATTTAGTCGGTCTCGGCTCGAAAGAGGTGATTTTGGCATGATGAATCCTGGTTCGAGGCAGATTTACTTGACATTTCCTGCTGACAGTACTTTCAAGGAAGAAGATGTGTCCAATTATTTCAGGTGCATGAATTTCTTGTTGAGCTTGAATGAGGTTAATTATACCTTTCTTTAGCTAATTGAGCTGAGAAATTGAGTTTATTAAATAATTTGCTTCATCTTGAAGTATTTACGGGCCAGTTCAAGATGTGAGGATTCCGTATCAGCAGAAACGGATGTTTGGTTTTGTCACATTTGTTTATCCAGAGACTGTAAAGCTCATTCTTGCAAAAGGAAATCCCCACTTTGTGTGTGATGCTCGGGTACTCGTCAAACCATACAAGGAGAAGGGCAAAATCCCCGACAAACACAGGTTAGTCACTCTCTCTCTCAGCCTTTCTGGGTGGTAGCCCAATTATCTATTGATTATTAATGTTATATTCGATGATACTTACAGAAAACAGCCTCAGATGGAGAGGGGAGAGTACACGGGATGTAGTAGCCCTACCGGGCTGGAGTCGAAAGATTCTTATGATCTTCAGCTCGGTAAGTAAATATTCATCCCTTGCAACATGCGCTGAAAATTTGTTGGTTTCTTGAAGTAAACAGCAATGCATCATGCCTTCAATTCAGTTGGTTTCTAAAAGAAAATACCACGTTCCTAAGTTTGACCCTTTTAGAATTGAAGATGTTATAATTCATGTTTGATGAAAATAGTATTTTCTTTTCGGCTTTAGGCACGAGGATGTTCTACGACAATCCCGACATGTTATGGAGAAGAAAATTAGAGGAGCAAGCAGATTTGCAGCAGGCAATTGACCTCCAAAATAGGAGACTTATGGGTCTACAACTTCTTGACATCAAAAGGAATAGCCACCACCGAACACTCTCTACTGCTGACATTATTTCATCCCCGATACAGTCTCCGAGTTTTTTCAACCAGAATGTCATTCTATCCGGTGACCACAGCAGCCCGGAATCTAAAGAAGGTGACAATTTTATTTGTTTCAGTTTTCTTAGACATTGAGTTTCATAGTCGTTGAAAGATGGATAAAAACTTTTGCATTTGGAATTATGCTGTTGCAGAAAATGGTTCAATTTTGGCAGTGAAAAATCCAGTAAATGTTACTGATACAGAGAAACAATCTTCTCCTCTCAAGGATGAAAATAGCAAAGACACAGAAAATCCCAACAAAGAAAGTGATTTGCGAGGAAGGTACTGGACCCCTTCTTGTTTTCTGGTTTTTTTATCGCATCGAAACTCATTATTACCAGTAATGTCCTGAAATTAGCATTCCAACGTGTTAGTTGAATGCATATTAAATGTTGATGTGGACCTCTAATTCATCTGTCATGTACTATTGCTCTGAATGATTTAGTTTCTTCATTAATTTGAATGTAGTTTGGAGCACAACCTCCCTGATAGTCCCTTTGCGTCACCGAAAGCTGCCGGAGACTACACGACAGCTTTCTCTAAGGAGACGGGAAAATCCGATAAGATTTCAGTGTCATCTCCTGCTAACAATAACTTGATCAGTCCGTCTTTATTTCCTGCTAGTTCTTCACTAGACATGGCTCCATTCAAATCGTGTTACTTCCAAGTGCCTAGGTATAATTACTCACTACTTACGACTCACTCGCTTACCGTTAATTAGACGCATATATAAGCAAACACCTACATGACTAATACAGGTTTGCTTCTGGTCATGAGGCCATTGGAATGTAGGCCTACAATCTTGTCTTGCTTTTTAGCTTCCTTCTTTAATGGAGGTAAGTAAACAAAATAATCTGCTGTCTCTTAATTATAAGTTGCTGCTTAATTAATTGATACTTTTGCTAAGTACCTTTATCTTGGTACTTGTTCATTTACTGAGGTGGGGTTGGCATTTTGTGTTTGAATCTTTGTACAGGATGAAGATTTGATTTGATCTGCTGAATCAAATTCCAAGTCAGTGTGTGAGCTGAACCAGCATTAGTTACAAATACTATACCTACTTACTATCATACATTAAAAGGCATACATTGAAAGGCAGTAAAGAAAGTGGGCAGACAGATAGACAGCCATCCATTTTCTCTTTTCATTTCTGTAGGTGAAGAAAGTTGTTGGACAACAGGTAAAAAAGGAAATAATTACAGTGAAATCAAGAGCAATTCTTATTCACATAGGTCCCAGATGGGCTCGCTCCTATGTCAACAAGGTTGTCAACTTCTTTCTGACAAAGGAGTTTAAATCAAATTTGAGGGTCTGTAATTCCTTCCCTTCTCTCGCTATTGATGGCTATTTCCCATTGTATAATCCAAAAAGAAAATTAGAAATCCAATTTAAGTCTTTCTAACTTGTTGTATAGATAGATCCAGATACAAGAAACTCCAAGATTTATAATATTTGAAGATTTGTAGTTTTGTTTATATTATGAGAGGGGGTGGGGGTGGACGTGGGGTGTGTCTTTTTGCTGCCTGCCTTTGATGGAGGGTGACAACATCACATGGGGGGACTGACTGACAACGTGGGACCCCACCACCAAACACCCATGTGATTTACTGTCCCTCAGATCAGATCACATAATCTGTATGTGTGTGTGTGTGAGAGAGAGTGGGGTGAAATATGAGCCGTTGATATCTAAAAGTGTATTTGATACCACACGTATGACAAAAGGGTGCAGGAAGGAATCTTTTGGGGATAGTGGTGCGTGCGTGCTTGCTTTCTTTCATCCTTTCTATGTTCGCAACACACATACATTAGCAAACCATTGTCCAAGATCGGCTATGGGATTTTGGCTAAACTTTAATCGAGTTTTACTTGGGGAACATCATTTTTCACTTTGAATTGGTTAAAATGTATGGAATTTCTTTCATGATTAGATTCGGTAACTGGAGGTCTATGGTCGATCCGAATATTTTAAGTTAGGAAAATAATAATATAAAATTTTTAAACTTTTAAATTAAAATTAGCCCTTGTTTGATTTAAATAATTTTTTTTTCAATACATTTTGATAAAAGATGATAAAATATGTGATTGAAAAGTTGTAAGTTTCATAAAATATGCGGTTAAAATTAATTGTTGAATTTGATTTTAAGGGCTTATCTTCTTTTGATGATATAAAACCGGCTATTATACCATTACAACCAATTTGTTTCGGTACTTCTTTTTTGAATAGAAACCACGATCAATTTACTCAACATTTCTTGTTGATCGAATGTATGATCTTATTAACATCAACTTTCAGAAGCTTCTCTCGACAGATGTAACTGCAACCTGTATAGTCCATATTTTATATGGGAAATGCTATATGTACATACCATGTTTCATAATGGTGTTCATAATGGACACATGGAGGCTCCCTATTGGAGATGTGTCTGAGGGTCCAGGCACCACTCCAATAAGGGATCTCCATGTGTTCATTATGGATACCCTTATGTATTGTGCTATGTGCTCATAGCACAACCCATTTTATATAGTCTAACTCCTCATTCGCTTTGTAGGTATTTTCTCAAGAATTGCATGAATGATCATTCCAACTCTTCTATGAATCTCAAACTATTTTATGCTTGTGCCATTAATAAAAGTCTTTAAGAAGATTAGAAGACTTCTTAAAATAATTCTTATTATTGAAAAAACACTTAAAAATATAAACTAAAAAATAATAAATCATAACTTGCAAAACAAATGCAGCAAATGTCTCATTCCCAAATTAGTAATGTCATTCCAATTACTAAAATTGACAGTTTTAATACCAACTTCATCTTCTCAAAGACTACAATTCCAATCATCACCAAATCAGAAAAATTAGAGGATGTAAAAAGAGAGAATTTATAACCATATTTTATGCAGCACAAAGCAAGAACAGCACTCAAAAAATGGGCAATAATGCCCTTAGTTAATATGGTTAACTAAGTATATATTCCTAGTTTACATTCCTTACATATTTTGATTTCCATTTATGATAAAAATACATGAAAACAATAATTTTTAAATAAAAAAGTATGTAGTTATTTATCATTTTGGACAGCAATGTGCTGTCGTTCAAATATTTTAAATTTCCAGACTTGAATATTATCGAATCATTTAATTATTAATATTTTTCTCCAAATGTTTTAATTCACTACAAAAATTAAAATTTTGTATTCAAAAGTGTATATGTTCAAATTTCGGTATTAATTTCTTTTTTCTTTTATGTTATAATATTTTTCAGCATTAGAAAGTGATATGATATGACGCTTTTTAATTAAAAGGCCACACACTGTAATTTAATTTTTTTTAATAGGCGATTTTTGCTTTAAGCCCGCATGAAAAATAAATTTGCAAGCGATATTTAGATCTTACTCCCTACTTTTTTGTTGGATATGGATTAAGATTTTACATTTGAAACTAACATTACATGTCACTTTCTAATAAAAAAGAAATCACATTGTGTAATATGATTGTGTCATTTCATTTTTATAATAACATGTATGTTTTGTGGTTTTTTTGTAGATATGGATAAAATCAACGTCTTCATTTATTATGATGGCAAATGAAAAAATATGACAAATACATAGATTTTGAAATGATCGGAATCGTCGTCCCAATAGAATGTAGGTAGTGAACTTGAGGGGGTGATGTTTTGTTGTGTTAGAAAAATAATTGGGGTTATGCATTCGAAAAGTAACATTCGTTGTTACTTTCTAATAAAATGTCTCACATTGCGTAATTTTAGTTTTTCAATTATAATATTTTTTCCTAAGGTTACAATATGATTATTAGAATTATTAAACCAATATTTAGCAATTAGATTTACTTTTTGTTATGTTAAATATGTATTAGGGACATTCTATATTAGAGAGTGACTTAATGTGTCACTTCTTAATGAAAATATCACGCATTGTGTAATTGGACTTTGTAACGGTATATTCATTTTGCTTTAGTTTGCATTTTCTCACAGTTTGAAAATGATAACAAATTTGCAAATATTTCTCTTCCTTCCCACCTATTTCGATGGAGATTTTGAAACTTTCCTTGTACTCAAATTCATGAAAGTATATCCTCATTACTTGCACAATATCCATGCAATTGCTTCTTCTTTTTTCTTGAATTTTACTTCGATAATTCTTTGAAGTACATACATGGAGAAGTACTTGAGAGAGAACTTTGACGTAGACCATAAGAGACCATCTGAAGAAGCATTAAAGAGATGGAGATCTGCTGTTTGGTTGGTCAAAAACCCACGCCGGAGGTTCCGAATGGTTGCCGATCTCGCTAAACGTGCCAAAGTCGAACGCAAACGCCAAAAAATCCAGGTTTCCTATACTTATTTCTATTGCATTCTTTGTTATTCACTATTACAGAATTCCTATTCATATTCTTCTGATACAACCGACAACTTAAGGCTCGCTATGTACTAGCAAATTTACAGTCAATTACGATCTTTTTTCCTGGTCAGATCTAATTGGAAAGCTTCCAAAATTGCCGCGTTGATTGTCATCATCATGGAAAACCGTGTAATAATTCCAAAACCCGGAAATTTCTTGGATATTTCCCGATGGCTTAGTCTCTTCAAATATTTCTGCTCTTCACACGTACAAATGTCCTCTAGAAAATATTAAGCAACGAAATGTCATTCACAAGAATAAGACCCTTCACATCCCAGAAAAGAAAAAAACCCTTCTCAAATTTAAGTTCGTTTTAAACTTTTAAGCTATAACATGAGCAAAGCAATGACTTCATTATCAGATCAAGCAGCCAACAAGTCACAGACTCACAATCTATGATGATGCCACCTATTTAGGTGTCTATCCGGCGGTCGTTTTTTGGTTCTGTGTTGTCATGATGCAGGTTAGGCCACAGTTTATGCGTTTTTCCATGGTACGACATCGTCATATGATGTAACAAAGTTTAGTCGTACGCTATAATATTGCTCACGGAGATGCTAACAAGGTTTACCCGATTTATTTCGTGTCATTATGGATACTATGCGTATCATATAATTGAAGAATTAATCTAAGTGTACAATATTTTTTGACAACAATGGTTGACAACCATGTGTTGTCAAAATCCTAATATATGATGTAGAAAATAGTTTTTTAAAATGGATGAATATGAAGATGTCAAATAAGATGTTGTTAACCAGTATTGTACATGTAGCATGATTCATAATTGAATACATAGTTTTCGGGTATCTTGGTAATTAGGAAAAGTTCATGATGAAGCAATAGCATGTATGCATGCTTCGTATACAATATTGGACATAATTGAACCCGATATCTAAGACGGTGTTAAGAATCGCTATGTGGGTAACAATGGTTAGAATAAAACCTTGTTTCTCGGAAGCATCACTTGGGAATTGGATGGAAGATCTCATTCCATGGAATTGAATATGAGAGCATCACCAAATGATTATATGGATTATAGTATGTGGCATATTAATATAAAGTCTTTCGGTCTACGTAATATTGATGTCTAATAAAGTAAACGGTAAGTTTATTCATCTCCAATAAATTTTGTCTACAACCTAAATTTATGAATCATTTTGTATTGCACGAACAACCGTTTATGTGACATTAAATTCAATGATGCTTATGCACTGTATAAACTAGTGTTTAACACTCACATAGCATTATTCTAAATTTATTTTAACATGTGAGAGAAAAAACAATAATTTAAGCAGGGAATAATGGAATACAAATAGATCGTCAAACTACAAAGAGTTACCTGTAGAGGCGTTAAAGTTTAGTGTTTAGGATTTAGAG